GGGAGGGGGACGGGGGGCTGGCTGACGGCGGCCAGACAAAAGAAGGAGAAGGCGAAGGAGACGCGGAGGGAGCGCAGGCGAGGCGGAGGGGGGAGCGCAGCAAATGGCCACGGAGGAGACGGCGGGGGGAGCCAGGAAAGCCACCAAGAGCAAACTGTTTGAGTTCCTGGTCCATGGAGTGGTGAGTCGTCCGCTCGCTCGCTCGTCATTGAATGGGGGTTGGGGTGGGTGGGCGTGAAGGTTATTTCCGGCCCCCTCCCGAACGGAACCCTCGTCGCGCTCGGCTCGGCCAGAGATGGAGGACGCGGGAAGAAGCAACCGGCCGGCTGCCCCCCTCCGCAACCGTGTCTTGGGGCTAGCATGCTTCGCACACGAGGATGGAAGGGAGGCGGGGGGAACGGATGGGTGGAGGTGGTGTGGGGGGCGGGGGGTGTCAGCAAGCGTTGGTGGCGGTGAACAATCGCTCCATTCATGTGGGAGATTTCGGTTGTCAAGTTGCACACTTGGTCTTCTCCTCAAATGGTCTTTCAATGTCGTGTGTTTCATTCAAAAGAAAAAAAAAACATTTAAAAGCAAAATTAAACAAACTTTTATGTCGACTCTTATATGTTTTGAATATTTTATTCAGAACAAGGTTTAACATGCGGCCTTCTTTGAATACAAAACAAATTGCAAGCATGGAATTGATACTAAAAATTGGAATAAAATAGTTCATAGTTTACGCCAGTTTCATTTTTTTCTTCCAAAGGCCCACTTTTGATTTTTTTTTTCAACACAATAACCCAGTCGATATGTGTAGTCAAAGCAACCCAAAGCTATAATATAGTGTATGTGTATTTAATGATGTGTGTTTGGTTGAAAACAAGGAAACAAACTTCTGTCGTTGCCAGCCAGCGTACAAAACAGATCCTGCAGTACAGGCAAGCCGCATGGGCTGTGTCAAATCTTCATTTTTGGGTATGCTGCAACTGTTGGGTGGCAGGCCATAGTTTGGACACCCCCAGTTTAAACCTGAAATAAACACTCCAACCTATTTCAACACTTTTTAAACACACTGTTAATGGATTTCAACACACACACACACACACACACACACACACACACACACACACACACACAAAAAAGATCTGTGACATGCACTCACGATGCCACTCCCCTTAAAGGTACTCATACAACACTCCACTCTTGCAATTACACATCACTTTCTGTCCTTATATACTATTTTATTATGGTTTTATATAACACAGTGCTGGTTTTCTTTCCTCAAACCACAAAATTGTGGTGGCTTTTCTTGGGCGGAATGGATAAATGGGGAGTATTCATTAGAAAAAAAACAAGCAATCCATTGAGGTCCATAAAATCAAGGGTTGTTTAAAAAAAATAAAAAAATGTTTTGCTTGCCCTTCTCATTGAGGTCCATAAAATCAAGGGTTGTTTAAAAAATAAAAAAAGGTTTTACTTGCCCTTCAGCTCTTTAAAAAGACATTATTTTCAGATGTTTAGCAGATAGTGAGCAATTTTTGGAAAAATAAACTTACATGTTGCATGCAGTATTTCGAATGCCCACGTACTCTATCTTAATGCTAACACATAATGCAAAATGTCATCGACGGACGGGCAAACAAAACTAGCACGATGTCACTTTCACGATATTTGAGCACAAACGTTAGGTCACACGTTGAACTGGCACACCAGAATACTCACAGGCATACCATCTTTATCCTCTGCAAAGAACAGCCGATATTATTGTAGTTTCGTAGTATGTCTGGATGTGTTATAATGCCCCCTGGTGGGCAAGGCGTCGAAATTTGAAAGAACTACTGCGTTGTCAGTGTAGAAGTCTTGGAATGGTGAAGCCAGCACCAGGTGATGTTTTTTGACTCGGATGCAGACAGTCAGGACGGCCTTTGTTGCAGCTCGCGATGGCGTTGTGGTGACCGCCTGTCTGCTGCGACGGGTATGATGGAGATGGGATGACGTATTGCGTCTTTGACGCGAGCGGTCGTGACGGCGGCGACAATGGCTCGGCTGATTGATGAGCCTCACGCCTGCGTCCTCCCTGTGCGCCAATTAACCTTGATGAGGAGGCCAGACACCCTCCCCCCACCCCCCCCATACAGACACACACTCATGCCCACCTCCCGCCAAAAGGCTTTTAGGATGGAAAACCGTCATGTGGAAGAGAGTGTGAGTGTTTATTTTGCTGCTTGTGGTGAAGCCTGGTTGTTTCCACTCTCCTCGTGGAATAAAGCTGTCACGCCCATTTTGAAGCGCTACCTTGACTCGGTGACAGTTTGAGCAAATTGCAAACTCCCATTTGAGCTAATTGCATTTCTTTCCTTCAATGTTCCGATTGCGATTTATTATGCGCTGATTTTTTTCAAGGTCCCCGTCCCATGAAATTTTTCACAAACACATGCAAGCAGTAGAATTGTCGTATTGCAAGAAACAATGTCAGATATATGAGACATTAAATGTTCTTATAAATTGGGCTGATGCTAAAATACAAACCAACGAGCCATGAATTCATATGAAAGACAGTTTGGAGATTGACTACAAGTTGAGTTTTGCTGGCTCACGACTTTGACTTGTCGTCTTTGAAGCGTGCACGACGACATTCGGACAAAATTCGACCAAACGAGTGTGACGTAAACGCAAGTCAGTCAGAGGTCTGAAGTCCGATGACGACAATCGTGCAAACTCATCTGTGGCGTTCTCACCTCCAACTCCCCGGCACATCCCCCCCGGCCCCCAAACAAGAGTGACAGCAGCGCCTGTTCATCATTCTTCTGATCACCACAGCTTCAGCTTCAAAACTACACGCACGTCTTTTTTGTCTGCGCCTTTTCATCCCGCCGCCGTTTGACTTGTCACTTACGCCATTTTTAGTTACGTTTGGTCTTATTTCTGGCATTGTCCCGTTTTTAGTCGTGCGTCGGTGCGCTTTGTTTTTCTCCACGTGACGTTTGTGGACAGTCTAAAGATCACATCAGCCTTTGAAATTGACAAACAAGACAGGAAAAAAAAATATCCGGGCAAAGCTACTTGGGGTTACAAAATGTCACATTACATTCCAGAACTACAAAGAAATGTTTTTTTTTTTAATGCTGCATGGACAATAAATACTCTTCCATTTTCTCCATTTGATTGCTGCTTTCGGGGGTCCTGTGGAGATTAGAAGAAAACAAAAACAAGAGAATTCATCACAAGAGAGCGGCTTTGTAGCCTTTTGTACTTTTTGGTGTGCCGTTCTTCTCACACCAAGCTTTGCTAGCGCAATTGTAATCCTCAAAAAGATCATCGGAGGTGGCGCGCGGGACGCAGCTGTTGGCGCCAGCGCGAGTGACAGGCGCAGGTGAACGTGGGGGCCACTTGCTGCCGGGCGTCAACAACTCCAAGCAAAGCGAAAAGTTTCCCTCATGTGTATGAGAGCCTTTTACTCGTGAATGTTTTTGTTGTGTGTATGAGAGTCTTTCAGTATTGTGTATGAGCTCGTTTTAGTTGTGTATGGATGAGCAAAAAATTACATTCCAGAACTACAAAGAAATGTTTTTTTTTTTAATGCTGCATGGACAATAAATACTCTTCCATTTTCTCCATTTGATTGCTGCTTTCGGGGGTCCTGTGGAGATTAGAAGAAAACAAAAACAAGAGAATTCATCACAAGAGAGCGGCTTTGTAGCCTTTTGTACTTTTTGGTGTGCCGTTCTTCTCACACCAAGCTTTGCTAGCGCAATTGTAATCCTCAAAAAGATCATCGGAGGTGGCGCGCGGGACGCAGCTGTTGGCGCCAGCGCGAGTGACAGGCGCAGGTGAACGTGGGGGCCACTTGCTGCCGGGCGTCAACAACTCCAAGCAAAGCGAAAAGTTTCCCTCATGTGTATGAGAGCCTTTTACTCGTGAATGTTTTTGTTGTGTGTATGAGAGTCTTTCAGTATTGTGTATGAGCTCGTTTTAGTTGTGTATGGATGAGCAAAAAAAAAAAACAAAAAACTCCGCAGTGTGTTCAAGATCCTTTCGGTAGTAAATGTGAAAGCTAATCCTGAATGATGTCACTTGCATACGGAGCTCTAGTTTTTCATTCTACCTCAAGTTGCCTTCCCAGCATTCCTGAAAATGGTTTCCAGTGCACTAATGAAACATTTTCACATCCACACAACTAAAATCCTGGCACCGCACTTCTGGAACGCAATCACACACACACACACCGTTGTCTCACTCACGAGTAAACGTTGGGACTGACGATGTGCGTCGCCTGTCGCCCGCAGCGTCCCGGCATGCCGTCCGGGGCAAGGATGCCCCACCAGGGAGCGCCGATGGGCCCCCCCGGCCCGCCGTACGGAGGCAACCCGGCGGCGCGTCCCGGCCTGCCCTCCCCGGTGATGGAGGCCGGCCGCAAGAGGCCCGCCCCATCCCAGCAGTCCCAACAGCAACAGCAGCAGCAGCAGCAGCAACAACAACAGCAGCAGGCAGTCCAGAACCGGGCCAGGAAGTGAGTCCAACACACCACAGTCCAGAGAAAAATGCTTACTTAGATCATTTGAATATTTGACTCACGGGATGACGCACAATCAACCGATGCCGTTAAATCTGAAACACAGCAGACTGATGGATTGGACCAACTGACCTGACCTGCGTCAATTGACTGATCGGAAACACAGCAGACTCCGATTTTATGATCCATGGACTCAAGTTATGGGTGACTCACATGTTGTTGTTTTTTTTTTTTTTTTGTTGTATTATTATTTTTTTTTGTTGTTGTATTGAATCACTTGGGTTCGCAGATTCACCTGAAACATTGTAGACTAGTATGATTCCTTTGAATCTGACTGAGTCAAATTCACTGACTCACCAGACACACCAGGGACTCCGATGATTTGGTTCAGCGACTTGCGCTCGTCATGGTGGGCTCATCACAATTCTTTCAGGCCTTGTTTGTGGCCAGAAGTGCATCAGGTTTCCTCATTAAAGGAGAATCCAGATCTCCTTTGATCCCCCACAGCTTGGCCAAATGGTGGACCCGACTGGACCGGATCAGAACAGTTGGATGGATGAGCCGTCCGTCCTTTGTTCCAGGTGACTTTGTGAGGTGTACTCTGGCATTCTGGTACTCTGGCAAACAACCAGATTGCCAATTTGCCAGCAGCTGAGCGGCGCCACCTGCGTTTTCACTGTGTCATGGAGACGTTTGAGTTGCGGTTCAAAATAGCCCCCGCTTCCTCAAACGGGCCAAGTAGTTTGAATGAAAGCCGGGGGATTTGATGGAACCTGACCTCTGTTTTGTGGCATCGCGCTGTGAAGGAACTGTGATGATCAAGGAACTATCTGGAAGTGAGTTGAGGAGTTTCATTCAAACAAAAGTAGTGTTTTACCGCCAGTCTCTGGCACCTTGGCGTCCAGGAACTGTATTGTGCGTGAAAGGATGAGACAAAAGAAGAATAAGAAGGGATCCTGCAGGATTTTGGTGTCAAGGAGCTTCATTTTGGACATTTGTCTTGTGGCCCCTTGTCGTCAAGGAACTTGATTGGAATCACTTGAGGGGTTTCTTTCAGCCTAAAGTGGTGCTTTGCCGCCACCCTTTGGCCTCTCGGTTTCAAGAGAACAGAGTTTAAGTGCGTTGAGGAGTTTTATTTCGTCAAAAATTGTCATTTGCAGCCATCGTGTGGCGTCTTGTGAGCAAGGAAGTGTGTTGAAGTCAGTTGAGAATAGAAAAAAACAGTGCTTTGCCGCCATCCTGTGGTAACGTAGGCAATTTTAGACCTTTCTTTTTGGGGTGGGGCATTTGGCAATCCACAGCAAGGCTCGATTCTTCTCCAATGAGAAGAATTGGAAGATTTTTGAGACCTTCCCAAAGTAGGAAGTTTTTCTGTCTTGCAAAATTTGGAGGGTTTTTTTTCTCTCGAAAGCAGGCAACTTTGAAATTCCTGAAGTTTGAGATTACGGGGAGGGATGAGAAGGCGGTGGCGGGGGTGTCCCCCCCGCCTGTTCCCCGAAGAGTTTTGTCTAATGGCTGAACCGCTCCCCAGGAAGCCGCTGGGATTCCCGGGAGGCGGCGAGATGGCGGCCAGGCCCGTGGACATGCGGGAGCCCCAATCAGATCCCACGCTTGGATCCAAGTAGGAGCCCTGAAAAGAGACACGCCCGCCCGCTCGCTGCATGCCCCCTTTTCTCCTCCTGGGAGCCTCCCCTCAAGCCCACACCCGCAACCACCAGCACCCCCTCCCTCCTTAGCGGTGCATGCTTTGGACTTGGAGCATGGCATGATGGGAAAGGATTTCAAGTCAAAACCAACTCTGCTTTATGTGTTTTTTGTTTTTTTTTCCCCCAAATGCTCAAGTGTGTTTGGATGTTTTTCTTCTTCCCGTGGCCACAGGCTTCAGCGGCCATCGTGTTCCACCATTTGGCATGCTTGATGGAAAGCCGTTTGAGCTTTTCTTCCAGGTGGCTCAGACTCAAGAATGACAACTGCGACGATGGGAAGAAAGGCTCAAACGGGTTTCCCCACTGCTTATGAGAAGCCGGTGCTAACAGTATGCATCAGCACTTACTAAATCTCATGCAAATAAGATTCGACCCATCGCCCCCCCCGGAGTGCTAACCACTAAAAAATAAGTTGCTCTAACCTCTTCAAAATCACAAAAAAGATTAAACTAACTCCATTTACTGACGTTTGAAACATTTTGGAAACCACTCGCATGAATTCAACACGATCATCATGGAGCAACGAGACTGAATGCAATACACACACACACACACACACACACACACACACACACACACACACACACACACACACACACACACACACGACAATGCTGACAAAAGGCCTTAAAATACATACCATGATATTTGTCCCCCAAAAAGATCCTCCCGAAAATTACTTAATAAAAATGTGTTGTAATTTTTTGGATTGTAAATAATGCAATTAATAAATATTTGTATTATAAAGTGTTCGGGATTTCTTTAAAACTCAATAGATTGTAATAAATCATTGCTTCGTGCTTAATCATTGAATTCAGGATAACTATTGCAACATTAAAATAAGATTTAAAAAAAATTAATAATATCTATTTTCTGAATGCATTAATTGAGCCTTTAAATTGGTGACATAAAATGTACGTGTTTGATTATTATGTTTCCGTAACTAATGTGTTCATTGGTTTATTGTAAATTGTAAAATGACCAACAGTGAAATAAATTATTACAATACGTTATTCACAGTACATCACAAAATAAATATTTTATGAAAGTCAAATAATTGTTATTTGACAACAAATTCTATGATGATTTTCAATTCTTATTTTTCATTATTGTCCATGCACTTTTGGACTTTGTGTACGTGTGTACGTGTGTCGGTCTTTTCCAAATGTTCACGTTTCCCCGCACGGCGACACGCGGCGCCTGCGTGGATGTCTGGAGCCTTTTTGGCTCTCAGAGGCTTCGCGTGTCTCTCCAGGTGCACTGCTGCATTGATTTGGGAGAGCACACACACACACACACGCGCACACACACACACACACACACACACACACACACACACACACACACACACACACACACACACACACACAGCTGTGCCGCTGGATGCAGCCCAGCATTTTAGCAGATGGCCGGCCACTCGGCTATCAGTCACCATAGTAACATGCTCCCTTTTTTCCTCCTCTTTCTCTCCCTCTCTCCAGTGCAAAGAGAAGGAAAATGGCAGACAAGATTCTCCCACAAAGGGTAAGGCTCCATTCTTTTCTTTCTCGATGGAGGGGTCCAATCAAAAGATCCTCTTGACTTTTGATGTCTGGCTAGAGGCACGATCGTTTTGGGCATGTTCGTGGACTACTTTTGCGGGCTACGTTTTATGGGAGGGAGGCTGGCGGATTCCGGTGGGACGAGACGGATGTCAACCGGGAGACGCACTGGTTGAAGGTGCTCGCATTGGTCAGGGAGGGGGACAATGAAGACGGCCATTTACATGAAGGAGGAACATTCCTGATGTGCGATATTGAAATGTGCCCTCATTCACATTTTTCCATTCCTTCACACGATGATTTTAATGATGGACCCAAACAATCAATTTGGTGTAAAAATTCCGCTACCCCACATCGGTGGTTTCAACACAAATTGGACGTCTTCCTTCATGTCCACCGAGCTTCATTTTCGGGGGATGAAACTGCGTTTTTGTGTCAGTAAGTAATTTATTTGTTGCTGTTTTAGTTGACATTTATACACATCCCAATATTGTTACCAATATCTATGCCAATACAGACACAGATCCTGTTATTGCTGCAGATATTTTTGGAATAATGAAGGCAGGTGCTTGATAAAATCCCAAAAAAAACACTTTTTGTGCTTCTCCTCTTGAGATCCGTGAGCTGGTCCCCGAGTCCCAAGCCTACATGGACCTGCTGGCCTTCGAACGCAAGCTGGACCAGACTATCATGCGCAAGCGCGTGGACATCCAGGAGGCACTCAAGAGGCCCATGAAGGTAAGAACGGCAACAATTTGCCTGCCATTTGTTTGACAAAGACGCCATTAACGGAGCCCCCCCGTGTGGCCTGAACGGCTGTCAGCAGCAGAAGCGTAAATTGAGGCTGTACATTTCCAACACCTTCAACCCGGCACGGCCCGACGCCGACGACTCGGACGGCAGTATCGCGTCGTGGGAGCTGCGGGTGGAGGGAAAGCTGCTGGATGACGTGAGTGATGCCGCGGGGGTGGGGGGGTGGGGCGGGGGGGGGGGAAACACCTGCACAATTTCCTCTCATGAAATTGCCCTGTGTGAAGCATTAATGATAAGGGGGAAAAAAATGCCTTGATGAAACTGCGAGGCCAAGCTGTTCTCAACATTCGCGGCATCTGTGAGCCAATTCCAATTTGAGGGAAGATGATTTCGGGGCCCGTGCTCACGCTACTGAAACCGAATGTCATGTACAGTGTGAAAAAGGACAAAGTGTGAATATTCTGTGTTTTTGTTGTTCAGCCGGGCAAGCAGAAGAAGAAATTCTCCTCGTTTTTCAAGAGTCTGGTGATCGAACTGGACAAAGACCTCTACGGACCCGACAACCACCTTGTGGAGGTTAGTTACCAACCCTCGCATTGAAACCAGAAGATGCTAAATTATATACACTTCAAATATAAAAATGAAAATTTTTTTCACAGGTTTTGAAAAGAATTATTACATTTTTGCAATGGTAGCAGAGACAAATTATTCCTTAACTTTCACATGGAGGAGCCCAACAAAGTGCGCTTATTTGTTTTTCAGTGGCATCGCACAGCCACCACGCAGGAAACGGATGGCTTCCAAGTCAAGCGTCCGGGAGACGTGAGCGTGCGCTGCACGCTGCTGCTGATGCTCGACTACCAGGTGACGAGGAGCTCATGTCGTGTCACGTCATGTCATAACACATCAATCCTTTTTTCTTTTTTTTGCTCATGCTTTTCCGTCGCTCAGCCCCCCCAGTTCAAGCTGGACCCCCGTTTGGCGCGCCTGCTGGGCATCCACACGCAAACGCGCTCATGCATCATCCAGGCGCTGTGGCAGTACGTCAAGACCAACAAGCTGCAGGACTCGCACGACAAAGAGTACATCAACTGTGACAAGTACTTCCAGCAGGTACCCACCTTGGCCACCGGGGGCAGTGTAATAATAAAAACAAATAGAAGAATAGACTTCGACTACTTCTCCGTAAGTTGCTGTAATGAGCCATTTTTCATTGAGGATAAAGCATATGTGCCTGTGAGTCTTGTTCAATTGTCTGTCTACATGCGTTGCTCGACCGTTTGTGTTCAAAATAGCCATCGCTTCAAGGCGAGGCTTGATGCTAACAGTTAGCATGTGAATGGTGTTTTCCATTCGATGTCAGTATTAAGCTCGTGAGCCATGTTCTCTGGGCAGCGTTGTTTGAAATACACAGCTTGTACTTGTCTTTGCTACCTGTCGAGTCGTGGACTGAACTTGAGCTCGGAGTGGCAATTAAGAGCGTCAAGCCTCTTTTGGGAACAGTTGTTTGCCCAAATGCTGCTGACAGTCGACTTGTGATCCGATCTCAAATTTGGACATGCAAAAAATCTGAGAAATACCTCCTCGTATGTGGAGATTATTCGCTCGTATGTCACGGCGGCATTCCTCTTCAGTCGGAATTTTGAGGGTATCCTTGAAAATCGGCGGCCGGTTGCAATGCCGTCTTTATGTGATTTCAGATCTTCGACTGCCCGCGGCTGAAGTTCTCCGAGATCCCCCAGCGTCTCACCAACCTCCTGCTTCCCCCGGACCCCATCGTCATCAACCACGTCATCAGGTGCGTGCCCCAGCCGCTCACGACTTCAATTGAAAAAGCCCTGCCTTGACCACCCGACGGCGGCCAAAAGAGGCTGCGATTATTTTGCTACCTAAACAGGCTGCTAGAGGAGCAGGAATAAAGTACCTGTGCTAAACAGTCACAAAGTATGTTTTATAATAATGGCAATATGGCGACCAACACTGGTTTTCACACCTATAGACTGCCAAATCAGGTTCTTTGTTCTTTGCGGAGCTCTACGCAGAGTGTAGGCAGGGTAAAATTTCACAAGCTTGAATTGGTTTTTTTTTGCAGGATAAAAATGACGCATCCAAGTGTGATAAAGCGTGCGTCTCTTGTTTCTCGCAGCGTGGACCCCAACGACCAGAAAAAGACGGCGTGCTACGACATTGACGTGGAAGTGGAGGACCCACTGAAGAGCCAGATGAGCAGCTTCCTGCTGTCAACCGCCAACCAGCAGGAAATCGCCACGCTGGACAACAAGGTGACAGATGGACAGCCGGACGGCGCCGCCGCAGCAGACGGACGGCTCGACTAACGAAAGTTTTTGTTTCCTGTTCGAAGATCCATGAGACCATTGAATCCATTAACCAGCTGAAGATCCAGAGAGACTTCATGCTGAGTTTCTCACGGGATCCCAAAGGCTACATCCAGGACTGGCTCAAGTCCCAGAGCAGAGACCTCAAGGTTCCCCTTTGGACTTTTCATACTGCCGTGTTTGCCGCACTCTTTCAAAGTCTCGCCAAGACAACAAGACATCTGTTGCGAGATTATAGATTTTTCTGTCATGGGATATAGACATGAAATGGGTTGATCCAGACAAGAAATGGCGGCTTTCTGTCGCCGATGCTGAGCGTGATGACTTGTGAAGGACGTTACAGACGGCCCCCACACTGTGGCACTCACCTTGCCTTGTCTTGTGTTGTATTGCGTGTCAGCTGATGACTGACGTGGTGGGCAACCCCGAGGAGGAGCGCCGCGCGGCCTTCTACCACGAGCCGTGGTCCCAGGAAGCCGTCAGCCGATACTTCTACTGTAAGGTACGCAAAAAAAAAAAAAAATCTCCTTTGTCTTTTGGCTTGACTTGCCCCCCCTTTTTTCTTTTTCTATGACAAGCAAACTCTCCCTCGTTTTTGTTTATTTGTATATAATTATCGGGAGTCCATTCGCCCGCTTTGGTTTTTTACACTTAGACTTACAATTTTACACTTACGTGCTAAAATCCTGCTGTTGCTTTGATGTTTTTAATTGCTTTTTTTGGGGGGGCGGGGGGTCTTTATATTTTTACGGTGAGCAAACCTCCTCCTCTTTTTGATGTTTGTATCTTTGATTTTTGAAATGCTTCTGCTGTAAGATAAGACAAGGCTTTCATGATGCCCGTAAGGGAAATTCCGGGTTGGCAAAGGCAGGCAGACCCTCCCCCTGTCTTTTGCAAAATTGCAATTATTTTTGATCTACTTCTACTGGCCCCTGGCTTTGGTGTTGATGTGATTCTTTTTGTGATCTGTTGCTAATTGTGTGTGCCTGTACCTGCAGATCCAGCAGAGGAGGCAAGAGCTGGAACAGGCCTTGGCTGTCCGCAACACCTAAACAAAGACCCCCTGCACTAGCGTGTGTCCCCCTTTACATGTGTGTGGCTTTACGCATGTGTGTGTGTTGGCATTGTTCTCGTCGAGGGAAGACCTCCGCCAAGGCCAAAGGTCAAGGTCAGAATATTAGGTACACCAGCACTGAATCATACTGAGTGGCTCATATTTTATCCCCCATGTTATGTAGCTAAATAACCCAAATATTAGCAACAGCTCTCAGTCTGATGCATCCTCCTTTGTGTGTTGTCTTTGTAAAGGTACCTAATCAAGTGGCCGTTGTGTGTATTTTGCCACAAATTCATACATTGCCGACAAAGAAACAAAAAAAAAAATGCAACTCTGTCGAGTCATTTTTGCTCAGAGCTAAATGTCTTTGGCGGAGGTAAAAAAAAAAAAAACAAGTAGCGAGACCGCAATGAAGGGTTTTGGTTTTTTTTTCGATGTTCTTAGACTCAAGTCCAATGAAGATTTCAGATCATGCAAAAGAAAGGGACAAGGCAGTGAACGCTTTGGTTTGTGTGTCTTTGGTCTTCATCCCACCAGCAAAGTGATTGGCTGAATGCAGCTGTCACACACTCAAACTTGATTTCATTTCTTCCTTCCGAAATCAATCAGAAGACTTCCAAAGTGTCACATTTGAGTGTCTATGTGAACAGGGTGGAGTCCCACCCTCTTCAGTGTTATGCAAATCCATTGAAATATTGATCCCCCCCCCCCGACCAATCGCAAATGACGAGCGTGCGGATTGGCTGCCGTCGCCTCACGTGTCAACGCTCACGCTGAAGTTGATGAAACGAGCTGCATTTGTGGGTTTTTTTTTTTTTTTTTTTTTTTTACAATTTCCAATGAGACTGCATGGAAAGCTAACAGTTGGTATGCTAACATGAAGCAAGAGCGCAAGGCGAGTCGGGAAATTGTGAGGGTGGCTTGATGATGATGTTACGCCTTGCCGTGTAGTCACATGCGACAGTGGTGCCTTGAGATCACAATTGGCCAAGTAGTGAAAGTCAAAACAGACGAGGAAATCTCCTCTGCTCCAGTAGGACGACAACAGGCAAGCATTTGGAGAAAAAAAAAATTTAAATACCTGAATCGTTCGTTCAGTCATTTTTCCCTCTCCCGAGAAAAAAAAGGCATGTGTTTTTTTTTTTTTTAATAAGGAAAAGCTACTTGATAAAAAGAGTGTTATAAAATCATGAGCTAGAATGCCAAGAATAGAACAGTTTGTGCTGAATTCCTTATTTCGTGCTGCTGTGCCTGCCTTGGCCACTAGGGGGGCAGGATAAGAAAGTCATGCACTCATGAAGAATAGTGCTTCTACTACTGCGACTCAGTAAGCTGCTGTAATAGTCGTTTTTTTTTTTTAATAGAATATATGCCTGCAAGTATTGTCTGTCTACATGTGTTACTCCACATTTGTTGCTTGTAAAAGCGCAAGTGCAAAATATGAGTATGCCAATGGCGTTTTACATCGTTGGTTAGCATAAAGCTAAGCGGACTTTTCTAATGAATACACAAGGTGTATTTATTTCGGTTTCGGTTTGGTTTTGGTCTCAACTTCAGCTGGGCGTGGCAATAAACAGCCAGAGGCCTTTTGGGAACATTTCCTCACCATCTGCCCAAGTAATAAGAATAAGAATGCTCAAGTTTGCTCAAGTCAAACTAAACACCACCTGAATGACAGCTCGTATCTCGAAGAACCCACAAGTCGACTCCCCGGTATCTCTAGGCACCGCTGTATTTCCAGTGAGATCATGCTAACATGCTAACAGTGAATATGCTAACATGTAGCAAGAGAGCAGCCCATGTTTTGTGTGTGTGTGTGTGTGTGTGTGTGTGTGTTTTTACTGATGACGAGATGTGAATGTAAATATGTTTTGTGGTTTGTTGTCTGAAGGATGTGCAAGACGTCAACGGTGGGCGGCACATGTGCCCGTTTCACTTCAACTCACCACATGTGTATGTGCATATTTTTTTTTTCTTTTTAAAGAAGGGTGACACTTGTTTGTTTTTGTTTTTGCGTCAAATGAAGATTTGGTGTTGGAACATGGCAGATGTTCCCTTTTTTCTTCTTTTTTTTTGAATTTTGCACTGTGCTGTAAATTGTCCGCCTCCTCCTCCTCTTGATCGTCAGCCTCGCAGGCGACACACACGTCACTCGAAACAATTCACAGTAGACGCACACGCTTCTTCACTCCTCGGCCTCTGCATGCTTCCAACCATCAAACACTAGCTGTAAATAAACACGCATACGCTCTGTACACTTAGCATGTTGCTCAAATTGGACGGGCGGGGGGCCACAGAAAAAAAAAAAAGCTGCAAGGAAAAAAATATGACTAACAAAAGGAGGTAAAGAATAACTTATTTATTCTCGTCGCATTGCAACATTTTGTCTTGGGGAGGACACGACTTTATGTGCGTCAGATGACTTATCTCTGGAAAACGCACAGCTTTTTATCTTGGAAAAAAAAGACTCAAGAATAATCAAAATAACTTTGCCGGTATTTGTTATTCACGTTAAAATACAACTTTATTCTCTCGAGATGAGCAAAATGTGACGATAGTCTGGAGGGATCATCATTGCTTTATTCAGTGTGGCCCTTTCGCTCCGTTGTTTAAAAAAAAAAAAAATGCCTTCTGTAACTTTTTGCCAAAAATAATCTAACGAGCTACCAGCAAAGCAGTTTAGCTGTGTTTTTCTTAGAGCATAAAAACAAAAATACAGAATAAGCATTAGTTGTCCTGTAGCTCTTTTGGTTTTCTAATAGACTCCAACAGCTGATTAACGAGAGCTGCAGAAGACTCACAGCAGCTCGTGACAAAAAATGCTCAAACATGTCCGCTTGCTCCCTGCATGTTTTTCTTTTTCCAAGCCAGCGAGGCTGCTCTTCACTTGAACACTGAAAAAAAAAATGGATGACTTGACATACAAAGACAAAAAAAGAGGAGCTAAAGGGACAACAGCTGTGACCTTGTGTGACAGACTGGATGTAAATAAACAAGCGCTTGCCAAAGTTTGTAAATGCCGCCATGCGTCTTCAAGTCTCCTTTTTGTGTGTGTTTATCTGATTTGAGCATTTTTTTTTTGTTACCAAACACCCTTTTAAAATAAATGTCATAATATTTGAACAAGCTGCTTTTACTAGCCTCTGATTTCAAAACGAGTTTGTTCAAAACTTGATCCTACTTGGATGATGAGTACTATATTGTATTCGTTGAGCAAAGTTCTGGACATGTGTGTGTTTTTGATTTCATGAAAGCTTGACTGTGGATGCTATGAGAAACAATGGCTTCTCAGTTAGAGAGGAGGTTATGAGCATTCGCAGGGGTCACTGAGCACCTACTGTGTGGCCAGTGAGATGTTATATCACCCTGGCCACCCCAGTGAAAATTTTTGGGCTACGCCCCCTTGCTTATGTTTGTTCTCTTTTTTTGGGTGTTTTTTCAATAAGTTTTTTTTTTTCCAGCTTAACACCCTGTTCTGGATTACAATCGGTTGTCACAATTGGTGGTTGGGTAGGATCAATTAGCTGACTTGATCATAGATGTGCACTTGTGTAACGCTTATTGCGACATGAGTCAGTGTGGAGGAATCATCCTTGCAAGTTGCCACGAGATAGAAAAAAAAAGAAAAGTATGCGCTGGGACGTTGTCGTGACGTGTTCCATCTCCTCGAAAGGCAAGCAGGAAACCGGGTGGCGTTCCAGCGAGCGTCACGGGCACAGGCATTGCATTGTGGCACGACTTTCAAGGCACCCAGTGGCCCCCCGCTCCCAAAAAAAGTCCCCTTTCACAGCTTGTAATCAAGTGAGCCATTCAGCTATGTTTTATGCTGGGCAACTGGGCGCCATCCTGTGGAGGGAGGACCAGCTACTTTTTATGCTCCAATGTAACACCATCATCAAACGTGAACCTGAGTTCAGGAGTTTCGAAACATTTCAATGTACTTATTTTGAAAAGGGTGCAACTTGACGCCTTACTTTACTCCAGTAGTTCAAGGACACCAAACACACACAAATGGAAATGCTATTCATTCATTTTCTTTTGACAAAATTGTGACATGGAATAAAACTGCTTTAGTTTAAATTAAGAATAACTTTGAACCTGGAATTGTTTTAAAAGTTAAAAGAGCGTAAATGTGGCGTCGGCGGCGGCCTAAGTGCTGTTGGCCTGGTCGTGCTGGAAGAGCGCGGCGGCGAGCTGCGCGCGGGAGCCCAGTCCCTCCAGGTTGCTCAGCACGCACCTGTGGTAAATGTCCTCGCTAAAGCGCGGGTTGCACTGGCGCGTCGCGTACTTCTGCACTAGCGCCGGCTCCACCGCGCGGAAGACGTGCAGGCCGGAGTAGCGCACAAAGACGTCGTACACATCCATGCTCTCCAGCAGTTCCTCGTTGTCCAACGCCTCGGCCGCCATCTTGGCCCGGGTGCTCATGTAGTCGGCGTTGTAGAAGCAGGCCTCGTCGAACACGCGCCGGTCAAAGTGGCCGTCCCGGAGCGGGTCGGCGGCCGAGGTGGAGGGCCGCGGCACCACGGCCGGGCTGAACTCCTGAAAGTGCACCGGGAAGAAGACCTGCCAGCTGCTGATGGCGTTCATGCGGCAGCGGTTGAGGAAGTCGCCGTTGACCTCGGTCCACACGCTGGCCAGGAAGAAGAGCGTGTCCACCGGGTGCTTCTTGGAGATGACGTCCATCAGCTTGACCTGCGACGGCACCTCGGTCTTGACGCTGATCCACGGGATCTTGATGTCGCGGTAGCGCTTCTCGGCCTCGCCGATGGCCGCCTTGGCGCCGGCGAACACATCCTCGCGGCTGACGCGCTGCGCCTCGAAGGGGTCGTAGACGAAGAGGACGGTGAGGAGGGCATTGTCGCGTGTGTCCAGCGCATTGGCGGCGTACGTGTCCAGAAAGGCGGCCACCTGCTGGCGCTCCTGCGCCGTGACGGGGAGGATGAGCTGCACCCGCGTGGCCTCCGTCACGTAAGGCATGGGGATGATCTCCACGGCGCTGAGCGGGCGCAGCAGCTGCACCCGCTTGGCGATGACCCGGCTGCGGCCCTTCTGCGTGTACGCTTCCAGCGCCAGGTCCAGCACGTACTCCATGCCGCGCGTGGGGTCGAAACGGCGGTAGCCGTTGAGCAGGCGCCGCTTGAGGAAGCGCAGCCGCGGCTGGTAGCGCGCGTTGAGACGCTCCAGCGCCGCCTCCAGCACGCCGGCCACGTCGGCGCGGTCAGCGCCGCGCAGCTCGCATTTGGGCGAGCCGTCGGTGCACGCGTGGATGTGCTCCTCGGTGAAGTAGTCCCAGTTGAGCACCTCGAAGCGCGTGCGGGGCTTGAACGGAGCGTTGATGCCCACCGGCCACGTGGCGCCCGCCGCGCCTTCCGGCGTCAGCTCGCTCAGGTTACCGATCTGCGTCTGCGTAAAGATTCATTGGTCAACAGCCGTTTAATGGACGCGTGCAAAAGCTTGGCGACCAAAATTCACATGTGCAGCTCTTAATATGTCTTAATGGACATATCCCTAAAATCCAAATGATGACTTTGAGGCCCGATGCGTGTTACTGAATCCAACCTGCAGCTCCTGGATCTGCGCGTAGGTCCAGTCCAACTCGATCTGGCTGAAGCGCTTGTGCAGTCGGTACATGAGGTTGGGCTCTGACACGGGATGCACGGTGAAGGCATGCTTGAACGCAGGGCTGTCCTCGCGCTCTGGGTCGGCGTTCTTGCCCAGCTCGAAGTAGCGGTACGTCATCTCCTGCCGGGAGCACGAGCCTGTCAGACAGCTTACATAGCCTATAAAATACGAGTGTGATCGATCGAGCGATCATCCATACGAGCGGCAACATCGTGATCACCTGGTGGATCTCGACGCAGCTGAGTCCCAGGTAGTCGATGATGCAGCGGCCGAGCCACTCGTCGGGCCTGACGCTGAGAATGTCGTTGCGGCAGGCGTCCAGGTGCGGCTGCAGGCGCGCCAGCAGGCTGCGCGACAGCAGGTAGCCGTAGCCACCGTGGCAGTAGCGCGCCTTCTCCTCGCCACCGATGAACTCTTCGGCACGGCCCATGTAGAGGTCTTGGCCGGCGCTCAGGTGGCCCACCAGCCCGCTCAGCCGCTCCGCCTGCATGTACGTGTCGTCCTGGGCCAGCAAGAACCAGTCGTAGTCGGCGCCGTGCTGCCGGTGCAGGTGGCGCACTGTCTCATACATGAGCCAAACGGGCCGGTCGTCGCCGTGAGCCACCACCGCCATGCCGTGCGGCGCCTTAGCGCTGCGCAGGCCCGTGAAGAAGAAGGTGCGCGGGAAGTGGTGTGCCACGGTCCGGTTCACCGCCACCGCCAGCGTGTTGAGGGTGGCGCGCGACGTTAGCACGCCCACCAGGAGGCGCTCGCGGATGCCCAGCTCGGTGTGGATGTAGCGAGTTCTGTGGGAGGCCAAGAAGAATCTCAATTCATGGGCAACCTTAAATCATCACTCTATTGACCCAACACACACATCCCCCACTGTATTTAGGTCCATGGCCTGTGCGTGCTACAGTGGCTTCAATAAATTCTTTAGGAATAGGACTTGGGATTCTTTTTCAATCATTATTTTGGCCTACTGTCATTTTTAGGTGGTACTCCTCAACCAATTTAACATGCATATTGTGGAGTATATAATAGTTGGTGATTAATTTAATTGTTGATTAACTCTTGTCAATAATCAAGTTCATCACCAACTATTTTGAGAACCAATTAATCCCTTTGCCATCTTGCTGAACTTCAAATTGTCCAAATCATCTGAATTTCAACCTCTCAACAGTAAATACTGTCCGATTCCTGTAATCCTTCATGGAAGCAGCCTGATTATTATTGTGCTGAATTCAAATAAGACATGTGGAAGCATCTGCCTCTGCTTAGAGAAACAGTGAACCAACATTGAACCATTGAAAAAAATAATCAACGGATTAATTGTGAAAATAAAGGTTAGTTGCGGGAATGGGGGAGGGAGCCAAAGTAACGCCACGTAAGAAAAGAGAGCAATCAAAACGCAGGCAAGAAGGCTGCAGCTGGGATTTGAACCGCAAACCTCACAACGTTGAGGCTCACGTGCTCACCGAACGGCCACCCTGCCACATGTCAGTGCTCTTAACATTGCGTCATCACAGCGTTGACGTCAAGGGACGCCAGCGTCCACCGGCTGGTGTCAAAAAGGACATGTGCCTACCTCAGGACTTTCTTGTGCTGTTGCTGGTTCGGGTCCTTGTGATAGGGGACGATGCGCGGCTGGAAGTCATCATCGCCGCCCTCGCCTCCTCTCGCATCGTCCTTGGCGTCGCTCTGAGCGTCCCCCCTGGCCAGGTGAAGCCTCCCAGCGTTGGCCAGCTCGCCCCCGCAAGCATCGTCCGCGTCCCCTCCAGTCCACGACACCATAAGCAGGCTCAGGCTGCAGCCCAGAGACAGCCCCAGGATCAGCGGTAGAGCAGGCCGGAACACGGCCAGCAAGGACGAAATTCGCATTTTTTCCCCCCTTCGTCTTCTTCTCGTCCAGCGCAGAAAAAAAAAGTAGGCGCACCACGTAATTTACATGAAGCGAGATACAATGAAGCCAGTGAGCACGAACACCCACTCGATCAGCTTGCCAAGCTTCCACGTATCCTTTGCAAGTTCATTCGGCCCACCGATAAAACGCCCGTGAGATGCTCAACATCGAGGCGCAGTCGTGTCGCGGTCACCGTTTATAACACTCATACGAGCGGTTCGAAGGGAGAACCACCTAACGTCATCCGCCACCATTTCACATTAACATCGTAGTGCGTGGCGGGGTCAAATTGTTCTACAAATGACGATAGCCATCAAATAACTAGTTTGTCGAACCAAGCGAGCGTATCAGCGGAAAACTGAACGACGGGCTAGCACGCTAGCAGCATCGCTCGCTGTCCAATTAAATGTCTTTTTTTTTCTTCCCCATCCGAGGACGCGGGTAAACGGCTAATCCATGTCTCCTTCACCCTCTTCCCCTCTTTTTCGTCTTTTAGCTACGACGCTCAAGACTCCTAGCCACTTCCTCCGTGCTCCTCCTCATCCCTGGCCGAGCATCGTCGTTGATTGTCAGTTTTAGCGAGCTGAATAGAAGAATCAAACAGCCAAGCCTTAGAGTATGAATATAATTTATAAATATCGCAGTATTATCGTGCAGTTACGTGGCTGTGTCATTTCTAAATATTTCTCAATATTAATTTTTATTGTATTTTTTCTTCCACCATTTTACTGCAGTCCCGCGAGAAAGAGGCGGAAACGTTTCGTGAGCCCCGCCCTTTTGACCATATTTGGCTTGTCTGGCGTTCTGGATAGCGGCTTCCAGCCGGCAAAGTGGACACGCGAAGTCGGTGTGCTCCTCAGTCCACGAAATCGTAGAGAAGGTAAGAAAACGCCGCCGACAGCCGCCACACAACTGCTTGGCACATTAGCAACGAAAAAATGGTCAGCGAGGAGGGTGGAACATGAACGTAAAGGGCCCAATTCGTCTCGTTTGTAGCCGGTTCGCGCGGCCTTGCGTCATCATGCCGCTTCAGGCCTCTCTATGGCGGCTATTCTTAGCTTAGCCTTAGCTTCGCTTAACCTTAGTTTCACTTCAATTAGCTTATCTTAATTTCGGGGCAACACTAAGCCCAGTTAAGGATGACTTGTTCGCCCGAGTCCTAACATACCAGCATCAGCTCGCTTGCCAAGAGCTAACCGGCTTGGTAAATTATTTCGCTTTTATTTGAGATGCCGGTAACCGCTAGCACGTGATGCTACACTAACCGGGTACATGGGCTAACATAGGCAGAACAACGTGCAAGCAGGTGAGACATGGAGCACACGTTTTTTGTTTTGATTTGTAGACCGAAAGCGTACGTTTTTTTGTTTGTTTTGTTTTGACGAAAGCCTTTTACAAATCATCTCCCTTCCGTCATCAACATAATGACATGTTTTCATCGTTTAGAAGCCGAAAGCCGACAAATGACGACGTGTGACGTTTCCTTGACAACAGATCGAAGTGACATTCCTAAGAGCTAATTCTACATGACCCGCGTTATTTTTATGATTGATCGTTTCAAGACCTTTTCAGTGATTTAAGTGTCATTTTCCCGTGATTAGTTGTGACTCGTAACGTGAAGAGCAATATTTGAGATTTTTTTTCTTGATGAATCATTGTTGCAAACGTTCTTCATCTTTATCCTATTTTCAAAAGGTTGGTATCATTGGAAATCTTGCTCAACACAGAAACAGTCAATGTAATCATGTTCAACTTAGTCATAAACAGCCAGCAGCCCAGGTATACCCCAAAAAAACCCTATGATTTAACAGTTTGCAATGGTAGTTGGGTGGTATGATGTGATTTAATTTGGCACGAAAACAAAGCACAGAACAAAACAAATTAAGAGTGCAGAAGGGACAAGCACTGCATAAGATGCTGAAAGGAATAAATAGCACAGTTAAGAGGAATTTGTAGTTGACAAAATTGATGAAATGAAATCATAGTTTGGAGCCAATGGAAATTTGAGCCAGCGTGGAGGCAAATACAAGGAGTCCCATGGCTGATCTTTGATGTATTGTTGTTTTGGACAGAGCAGCCCTCAGCAAAGAAAGCACAGCCATGCCTTCCGATTTAGCCAAAAAGAAGGCGGCGAAGAAGAAGGAGGCCGCCAAGGCCCGGCAGCGCACCAAGAAGCCCGATGAGTTGAACGGCGAGTGCGACCAAGCGGAGGGCCAGTCCAATGGAGCCGTCAGCAATGGTAAGAAAGTTGTCGGCTGGGCGATGTCAAAGCATTCATGCGCTGTTTTAACATCCCAACGCTTTGTCACGCAGGTGTAGACAGCCTGACCAAGGACCTGGATGAGTTTGAGTTGGCCAAGACGGAGGCGCGCGCTGTGACGGGCGTGCTGTCCTCTCACCCCAACAGCACGGACGTGCACATTAGCAGCCTGTCGCTCACCTTCCACGGCCAGGAGCTGCTGGTAGACACCAGCCTGGAGCTCAACTCGGGCCGCCGCTACGGCCTCATCGGTCTCAACGGCACAGGTGAGCGGGGAGCGTCTGCCCCCCACCGGCAGCAAAGGCTGCGATGAAACCCCTGTGGGTTCCTGGTCTGCAGTCTACCTACTCCATTTTTTTTTAATCCAAGGAAGTAAAAGTCAGTTTCATCATGAGCCGCATTCTAGTCATCCGATGTGTTGGCAACATCCTTTACTGAACTGCGCTCGTAAAATCCTGCGGTGCTTTCTTCCTTTTGCCTCCCAGGGAAGTCCATGTTGCTGTCGGCCATCGGGCACCGCGAAATCCCCATTCCGGAGCATATCGATATCTACCACTTGACCAGGGAGATGGCGCCCAGCGAGAAGACGGCCCTGCATTGCGTGATGGAAGTGGACGAGGAGAGGATCATGCTGGAGAAGGAGGCCGAGCGGCTGGCGCACGAAGACTGTACGGCGCCACCGACGGGCTTTGTCCATCCCCACATTGACAAGCACAAAAGGTGCACTTCTTGCTTGACTTTGTCCTCCTGCGTCTTCCCTCAGCCGAATGTGAAAAGCTGATGGAGCTATACGAGCGTCTGGAGGAGCTGGATGCCGACAAGGCGGAGGTTCGAGCCTCGCGGATCCTCCACGGTTTGGGCTTTAGTGCCGCTATGCAGCAGAAGAAGCTGAAGGACTTCAGTGGAGGATGGAGGATGCGCGTCGCCCTCGCCAGGTCAGCGCAGAATGTAGCAACGCATCTAATGCTCTGCTAACAAGCAATAAAACTGGAGCTGCGGCTCGCCAATATTTTGGAATCCATTATCCCTCCAATTGTTGTGTAAGAATTTGTTTTGCGTAAATCCTTTTGGGTTTTTTATTTGGTTTTTCTTAACTGCTTATTAGTTGTTAGTTGATGACTGTTTCTTTTTTGGTATTGCTTAATGACACACATGCAACCCTATTAAAAGTTAGCGCTACTTTTTGGCGACTGATTCATCCCGAGAGGAGAAATCTGAGAAGATTTTCAGTTGAAAGGCTGAAATTCTGTCAATTTGAAATTGAGCAACAACAGCTGAGCTACAGCTCAGAAGTTGTGGCTCGTAATTCAGCGTGACCGCTTCCAGTTTAATTTCCCCTTTGCCATCCCCCCCAAAAAGCAAAAGCCAAAAAATGTGTGTTAACTGTGACATCAGAGGAAAATCAAGAAAAAGTGCTTGGGTTGATTGTTGCGCCTCCTGAACGTGTAACTTAAGCTCAAGTCACAAGTACTCAAGGCGTGTCTCCATTTTGTGGGTGTCGCAGAGCCCTCTTCATCAAACCGTTCATGTTGCTGCTGGACGAGCCCACTTCAGCGTGACCGCTTCCAGTTTAATTTCCCCTTTGCCATCCCCCCCAAAAAGCAAAAGCCAAAAAATGTGTGAAAAATGTATGACATCAGAGGAAAATCAAGAAAAAGTGCTTGGTTTGATTGTTGCGCCTCCTGAACGTGTAACTTAACCTCAAGTCCCAAGTACTCAAGGCGTGTCTCCATTTTGTGGGTGTCGCAGAGCCCTCTTCATCAAACCGTTCATGTTGCTGCTGGACGAGCCCACCAACCACTTGGACCTGGACGCGTGCGTGTGGCTGGAGGAGGAGCTCAAATCGTAAGTTGCGTGCCAACATTGCCCCGCGCCCTGGCACTGTGAAAACTGACACTCATCTTGGCCCCGGTCAGCTTCAAACGCATCCTGGTGCTCATCTCACACTCGCAAGACTTCCTCAACGGCGTGTGCACCAACATCATTCACCTGCATCAGAGGAAACTCAAGTACTACACGGTGAGATGAACGCAAGCAAAGACTTTCTGCAGCAGCATAAAAAAAAAAAAACGCATCCTGGTGCTCATCTCACACTCGCAAGACTTCCTCAACGGCGTGTGCACCAACATCATTCACCTGCATCAGAGGAAACTCAAGTACTACACGGTGAGATGAACGCAAGCAAAGACTTGATGAAGCAGCATAAAAAAAATTTTTGAGAAACCTGCGAATGTCTCGTATGTTTTTTGTGGTGGTGCAGGGTAACTACGACCAGTACGTGAAGACCAGAGAGGAGCTGGAGGAGAACCAGATGAAGCGCTTCAACTGGGAGCAGGACCAGATTGCACACATGAAGGTAAACGCGGCCTGCTTGCTGCTCATCGGCTTTTTAAAAGTCATGTTTAAGGGAAAGTTGCACTTAAAGTAACCAAATGAATTGTTTGCCACGTCCTCAGAACTACATCGCTCGCTTCGGTCACGGCTCTGCCAAGCTGGCCCGGCAGGCGCAGAGCAAAGAAAAGACACTGCAGAAGATGGTGGCCTCGGGCCTGACTGAAAAAGTTGTCAATGACAAGGTAACGGCGCAACAAGAGTGATTCGCCCTAATGAGGTACACTTTAGAATTTGTGTTCACCGCGTTTGACTTGGCTCATGAACGAGGGTGCTCGTTTGTCACATTTGCGCAGACGCTGTCATTTTATTTTCCTCCCTGTGGGAAGATCCCTCCTCCTGTTATCATGGTTCAGAACGTGAGCTTCAAATACAGCGACAACACGGTGAGGACGCACACGCTTTTTGAGATCGCCGCCGTCTGGCCGCGCCGCTCTCTCACGCTCTTCGTTTTTCCGCTCGCCATGCAGCCGCACATATACAAGAACCTGGAGTTTGGTATCGACTTGGACACCCGCGTGGCGCTGGTGGGCCCCAACGGTGCCGGCAAGTCCACCCTGCTCAAGCTGCTCATGGGAGAGGTAAGGTCACCCAAACGCGCACCTTTTCAAACCGCCCAAAGCCTCATTGCCTTTTAAGAAAATTCAAGATAAACGTGGGAATAAATATCTCTTATTAGAGGTGGTCACGCTTGTCCAAATCTTTGATTCGGTTTTAGGGTCACGGTTCCTTTTTTGAAAACACGGTGAGGACGCACGCGCTTCTTGAGATCGCCGTCCGTCTGGCCGCGCCACTCTCTCACGCTCTTTGTTTTTCCGCTCGCCACGCAGCCGCACATATACAAGAACCTGGAGTTTGGTATCGACTTGGACACCCGCGTGGCGCTGGTGGGCCCCAACGGTGCCGGCAAGTCCACCCTGCTCAAGCTGCTCATGGGAGAGGTAAGGTCACCCAAACGCGCACCTTTTCAAACCGCCCAAAGCCTCACTGCCTTTTAAGAAAATTCAGGATAAACGTGGGAATAAATATCTCTTATTAGGGATGGTCAGGCTTGTCCAAATCTTTGATTCGGCTTTAGGGTCACAATTCCTTTTTCAAAAAAAAAAAAAAAAAGCTGATTCATTTACTGCTCGGTCATTGTTTTCTGAGGTCAAAGCTGACCTTGTATTGAAAACGCACAAAAGATCATCAGTCTTCTTTCAGGAAGCCCTCCAGAAATTCAAGGTTTCAGACTATTTTCAATGAAACAATGTCTCTGATGCCTTTAGTTTTTGTTTGGCTTGATTTTTGGTGCCTGTAATTTGTTTTGAGGAGTACCTTGTATTGAAAACGCACAAAAGATCATCGTTCTTCTTTCAGGAAGCCCTCCAGAAATTCAAGGTTTCAGACTATTTTCAATTAAACAATGTCTCTGATGCCTTAATTTTTGTTTGGCTTGATTTTTGGCGCCTATAATTTGTTTTGAGGAGTAAAAGTAGGACGTTTGACAGTGTTGCCCTGAAAGGAGGCACAATCTGGCAAGAGCATTTTTGCTCTTAGGCAGACTCCAATGATTGAAACGCCGCTGGTTTTGTTTGCAGCTACTACCCACAGACGGCATGATCCGTAAACATTCTCACGTCAAGATCGGCAGGTACCACCAGGTAGGAAAAAGTCGGCAATGTGCGCGTATGCGTGTCTCCGTGTGTGTCTTTGTCATTGTGGTTCTACGAGCTTTTGTCTTTGCATTTGCGGTAGCACCTGACGGAGCAGCTGGAACTGGACCTGTCGCCTCTGGAGTACATGATGAAGTGTTTCCCCGAGATCAAGGAGAAGGAGGAAATGAGGAAGATCATCGGCCGCTACGGGCTGACGGGGAAGCAGCAGGTGCCAGCGGGGACAAGCGATGATACGGAGAAGCGCCACGCCGACTGACCTTGAGTTTCTCCCCTCAGGTGAGCCCCATCCGCAATCTGTCGGACGGGCAGAAGTGCCGCGTGTGCTTCGCCTGGCTGGCCTGGCAGAACCCGCACATGCTCTTCCTGGATGAGCCCACCAACCACCTGGACATCGAGACCATCGACGCGCTGGCCGAGGCCGTCAACGAGTTTGACGGCGGCGTCATGCTCGTCAGCCACGACTTTAGGCTCATCCAGCAGGTACGTGTCAACTGCCAACAGGCTTCCCGCCCTTGAGGTGGCGTTGATGAGCAGCTGGAGCGCTTCAAATGGCTCTCAAGTTAATGTTGTGCATTACAATCGGACAGAACATCAATGAAATCTCATTATTGCTCCATTTGTGAATCATATTTATTATTATTTTTTAGTGTATTTGATCCACACAACAACAATTATAATGGTTTGTTCCTCTCTCTTCTCTTTTCCCAAACACTGCTGTGCTGTTGTCGCAGGTCGCCCAGGAAATCTGGGTGTGTGAGAAGCAGACCATCACCAAGTGGAAGCGCGACATCCTGGCCTACAAGGAGCACTTGAAATCCAAGATCGAAAAGCAGCAAGCGCATGACATTTAACGTGAGCTGCGCGTTTCACTGTCGGTTTCGTGTCGGTGCGCCGCATGCCATTGCGTGCTAATGACTGGTCTCCCTTGTCCCCGCCCCTTCTCTGCAGGCTGCACTCCCGATTGGCTGAGTCACACGCAGTGCATTCCGTTGTGCTGTTGTCTTTGTGAGTTTTTACTTTTCAGCGACTTTTACATCCTATTTAAAAGTTGACTATTCTGTTCAGTGTAAAAGCAGAAATTCTACCTTATTTAACAATGTAATGCAATAAAGGTCCATCTGAATAAACACAACTTCGGGAAAAAAACAATCTGTTGCTTAAGCTTTTTTTTTTCCCCTCTAATAAAAGATCAGAATAACTGAATAACTAAAAATGTATGCGCGTGTGATGGTAAAACCGAAAAGCGGGCAAAACAAAGAGACGGTGTTGGAATGATGGTTGCCATCAAAGGACCAGACAACCATCTCAGAGATTTTAAAGTTTTGTTTTGTCTTCCGAATCAATGCAGTCGAGCAAGCCGCTGGACAGGTGTGAACAACATTCCCGTTCACAAATTCATTGGAGTGGAAAAAGGGACTCGTTGTGATGTAGCAATCTTGGAAGTTGCAAATGTCAGACCGTCAATGGGGGTTCCTATTGATAGCGAAGAAGCCCCCCAAAAAATGAAGCTTTGGACAAATTCAATTTCCATCCCCTGCTAGGTTAAATGCTTAGTCTTAAAGTGCTTCCCCAAACTTTTATCTAAAAAAAAAAAAATGCCACAGCACACCAGAAGAGTTTTTTTTTTTCTTTCCGCGATAGCGAATTATGACGTCGTCTCAGTTCCTTTGAGAATGTTTTTCACTCAAGTGTTGCTGTCCGCCGATTTGATCGTTCAACGCAAAGCTACAGTGTTATGCCGTTGAAAGGTTGTCAACAGGTGGCCGGGTGCCTCCACTCGTTTGCTGGCTCGCGATACATCGCTGGCACATTCTTGATGAAAAGAAATCACGACTTTTTGGAGCAAAAGCTGCACACCTGAAGATATGTCACGACGCACAAGTGTGCTTTGGAATCACTGCCTAAACAAAAGTATCCGAAAAATGAAAGAATGAAATGGTGCTGAAAATATGTACGTGTAATCACACGACATCAGTTTCAGGTAGAACAGGAAACAGGAGGAGATTCGGACACGCACGCATCACTCATCTCACAACAATTTGACAACGCAAATCAGTGCAACGCCGCCACAGGTGAGTTGAACACTGCCGCTTGGCAGCATTTACAACCATTTTCAGCATTTATATCCTACCGGTACGCTGGCTTGTCCGCATGGTCGTATAACTTATTGTCCTGGCTAACAATTAAGGGCAGGAGTCCAACAACTGTCTCAGGGTGCGAACTGCTGTATGTGTCAGCGTTTACACTTTGTGTCACAGTTCAAGGAAACAAAAGTCGCATTCTGAAGTCAGCTGGCGCGGTAGGCGACGAGTTGGCACACCGGCCTCAGAGTACGGAGGTGCAGGGTTTGATTCCGGCTCCGGCCTTTCTGTTGGAGTTTGCATGTTCTTGTCGTCCCTGCGTGGGTTTTCTCTGGGTACTCTGAGTTCCTCGGGCATTCCCAAATCATGCATAGTAGGTTGATTGATCACTCCTAATTGTCCTGAAGGTGTGATTGTGAGCGCGAATGGTTTTTCTATGTGTACCCTGCGATTGGCTGGTTGCAATCTAATTCAAATTTTGTCTGTCAACACAAAGCACCAAATTGACCGACGGCTCATATTTGGAAAAATTCATAATTTGGGGCACTCGCGAGACAGGGAACCGTCATTTAGCTGAAAGTCCTCGGCAATGTGCTGCATGGGTGAAATGCAAGTCATGAGGTGCTTCATGTTTCAGGCTGAGGAAGAAGCGAGTCAACGTGGGAATCATACAGACATCCCAGTGGACCGAGATGTCGAGCGTTACGTCAACACCCAAGTTGGAAGAGGACATCATCCGACAGGCAGAGCAACCGCAACTCAGGGTTGCACATGTCAAGCGGCTTTCAGTGCCGGAGGTCACGGTGATTGGGCGCCATCACCCGCACGACTTGAGCATCACCAAAATGAGGTCGGCCCAAATTAAGACAAAAAGAAGAAGCTCATTTTACAGCTGGCTGTCTCAAGTGGTGAAACATGTGGTGTTGTGCGTCGTCAACTTCAGTTTTCGGCCCTCGGAATCCGATAACCAGCTAGACAACGAAGTCTTGGCTGAGGTTCATCACGCCGGCTGTGCTGATTCAAATCATCCACAACTCTCCAATCTGATTCTCCCCGATCCATTTTCAAGTCCGCTGCCTGAAATTTCTGCCATGACCGCCGATTTCCTCACCGGGCCTCCTCCCAAGACCATCACACACGCGGTCAACTTGGAGTTGCACCCATCTGAGCAACAGCAGCTGGCTGCCTACACCTACACCGTCCCGGCCTTTCCTCACATCTGCTACTCGGACCGAAGCGGATGGCCGGGAAGCAAGAACCAATCCCGCTTGCCTCGCTCTTTCAGCTGCACTTGGCCCGGACAAACGGAAAAGAGCCCTGGCGTGACGGCATCTGCCAGCTCATTGGACCTGTTCGTCAAAAACTTTGAGCACTGCACGCCGGACATCACTTTGGGGGGGCCCAAGGAAACGTACCACATACATTGTTTCCGGGCCGGCAGCTACCAGTGCACTGCCACGGGCCTGGTCTTCGTCGTGGACGGACAAGGGGATGTGCGTTATAGCGTGGTCTCCTGGGACATGGACCTCCTGGCCTTCCACTGCAAGAAGCCCGCAGGTATGGAAATGAACTTATTTCACAGCCTTCATGTCTGTCTACTACTACGAGCTTTGGCCTCACCAGTACGACGATTCAGCACACTCGTAGAACCACCGGACTCAAAACGGCTCTCGGGAAAGCTTTTTGAGCATTTATTCCATAATCCTGATTAGCAAGCTACCAGTGCATGACACGTTACTAGTGCAGGAATCGTTTACGAGTAAAGTTAAATTACATATCAGTAGGCCAAAAGCGCCAACGGTACTTGGGGGGGGGGGTGGGGGTTAATGGTAAGGTAGAGTTATTCGACCAGGCCAGTGAATTGGTTTACTAGTGAGGACAAAGGGACCTAGCGCGTGGATCTTAAAATAGAAGTGAAGTTGCTCTAACGGTTTTCCATATGCAGGCCCGCTCTTTGACATCGAGTGCGAGGGTCTGACAGTGCGGCAAATTCACTTTCCGCACTGCGAGATCCTGTCGGCGGGCGAGGTGGGCCACCCCTTGTGGGTGGCCCATATGAGGCACGAGGGCCTGGAGCTGATCAGCCCCGAGGAGACCACCCCGACCCACGTCGTCGCCAACATCTCGAGCTGCTCCGCTTTCGGGCTCATGAGAAATGACGACACGCCTCTCGTGCCCATCCGAGCTCTGGTGACCTTCTTCCTAGATCCTGGGGTGCCGTCCCTCCACGTGTTTTTACTCCCGGAGAATGTGGTGCTGGATCAAATGCGACGCCAGAGGGCGAGAAATAACGGCAACGAGAGGTTCATCGAGACCATCTCTGACTGCGAGCTGGTCCCGCAGCGGCAGTACACCCTGGCCAGCAGGACGGAATTAGACTTGATCTTCATTCAACCGGGCAGGGCGACGTTTTACCCAGTGTCTCACAACTACAATCCTGCGTTCCAAATATTTGGATTTGGCAACTTGAGGTCAATCCACCTGACACTGAGGGAACATAATGGCATGGACTCCGTCTGGGGTGCCTTGGTTCCTTTGGTGCCAGAGGCACAGAGACGGTGTGGATCCCTTGTTGGAGATCTAAGAAACGTTTGGTCCGAGTTCATCCGGCGGGTATCGATGGCCATGTTGGAGACGCTGGTGAGTCGCCTGTTCCAAGCCAATGTTCTCAGCGAGTCTGAAGAAGGAGCGCTGAACAGCGAAACGATAAGAATCCGCAAGGCGCGTCTCCTCCTCGTCACAATCACGAATAAAGGTGAACCCGCTTGCGAGATGATGGTTATGTTTTTTCGTGAGGAAGACCCCTACAATGCTGATAATCTCGGTTTGGCATGAACATCGATGTCGCAAGAGGCCACCCTGAATGCAACCTGGGTCCCCAGGAGACAGACGGACAGAAGATTAGTAAAGAGACCAAGGGTGGGCATATTCAGTCTTCAAGGCCCCCGATCCAGCATGTTATAATTTCACACGCACTTATTTTCAGTTTCATTTCTCTAAATTGTTACTTGAGAGTGTTTTCACAACATACTATACCAAGCAAATCGTGATCATTTTATGAACAGGTACGACATGCATTTTATCAACCATCACGTCTTCAACTGTGTTTTCTGTAGCAGCGTCATATCAGTTCATCTATAAATGTGTTTGATCAACAACCAATCTGCCAGAAGAATGTGACAGGTGCAATCAACATTGCTGATCACAGAAGTATTTTCTTTGGACCTACATGTTATGAATCTGTTGTACTTTTTGACCCTGTATCTACAAAAGTTAAACATTTTTGTGTGTTAGAATAATAAAAAAAAAAAAAAAAACTTTTTTTTTTTTTTAATTGCCAATTCAGAATAGAATGATAGTTGCACATGTCTCCCTCCAATATGCTTGATAGAAATGATCAGCTCTTCAGAAGCCCGAACAAGAGCTTGATCATTTGAATCTGGTGCGTTGGAGGAAGGAGACGTTTAAAACATACATCGTGGACCGGATTTGGACACCCTTGAACGATTTCGGAAAAATCCAACTGGGTAAGGTTTGGCAGTTGCTCAGTCTAGCAACACAACTGGTAAATTGAAATGAACGAATGAATGCATTATGGCCATGTCCTGTACAGCTGAAGGCAGCATTGTAACAGCCAATGAGCATCTTCTGGGGGCGGGGTTAGATAAACTTGGCGACCCTTCATATAATCTCATCGGTTGACAGATGTCATAAAATGTATCTAGCGGCAGACAATCCAAACTATATTAAGTGAGACGCACACTGTCCTCTTATTAAACCAATAATGTCCGTTAACAAACGTTACGCCGTCATCTTGACCAGATGTTTACTGCTGAATGAAGCGACAAGTGACAGGTGTCGAAGCCAGGTGTTGAAGTCATTGTTGAAGCGTTGTTTTTAAAAGTTTGCCATTAAAACCAGCTTTTCGGAGGCTTTAAAAAAATGTTTTTCCTGTCTTCGAGGGAACAAAGGGAGCATATCCACATGTCCCCAGTCGCAGGCCCCCAGCCGCTCCTGAGCTTCCATTGGATGACACCCTAATACAAACGGCCTATCGTCTCACACGACACTCGGCTCGCCTAATGTCGACCTCTGTGATTGGTCCAAACGTTTGGCGCCTCTTGAATCGGCCGCTGCGGTAGTGGAAGAAGAGAAAGACATCAATGGTGCGCACAGCGACGAATGAGAGTCGGATTGGATTGTTTAGTCGCTGCCACCGAGTGGAAAGCCGCGTTGTCAAATTCAATTTTGGCCGACAGACGTCGGGCCCCTGTGAAGCCAAGTCCTTGTCCGCCAAAGCGAAAGGCTTCTTCTTCCTCGACTAGCTAACTTGGCTAGCCGCCGAGCTAGCGCGGTGCTAGCAGTTGCTCGGCACACAAAGGACGACTTGGCCGCGGAGTTGGCAGCGCGTTGCTGGATGAAGACGGAGGAGCCCAGCGCACAGGCAAGGCCGAGAGTCTCCTTCTTTTTGTTACGTGTTGGGGAACTTGTCAAGAGCTTGCTTAGCCAGCCCAGCCGGCTGCGGTGCCAATCGAGTGGGCTTTTCCTGTCCGGTCGGGAGTTGTTGTCGTTCGTCTTAGTCGCACAAGTTGCGCCTTTTCTTTTATCTCCAGAGTCTGTCAACATCGTGCGTAGCATCGTCAACAACCTGCTAGTCGCAGGTCAAGACATGGATAAGTTGCTACATCGATTCATTTATCCCACCACAAGCACCGTTGTGCTTTGTACTTTGCAGTCTTAGTATTATCTTGTATGCAAACGATCTCACTGTAATTTCCTGTCATAGGTGCAATTATAGTCAGGTCGTGAAATTAGGAAAGTGTGCGATGTTTTCCTCTCGATGTCACAACTTGAACTCCATTACGAGAAAATTGGTCAATATTGTGCGTACGATATACGTGTTAGGTGCAGGTCAAGAGACATAGATTCGATGTAATAGACATGATTAGCATGTCCTCGCAAAGTCACCAAAACGGTGACTATTGTGCATATACGTGCTTACAACCTGTTCGACCCAGGAACAGGCTGATAGATGCACTAGTAGATGTAATAATGATAAATGTATCCAAAGATCAATCAACTGAACAACTTTGTAGCTCCTTGCTGTGTTATTCTACACGCCAATGAGAGCACTTTCATATATTTTCCTGCCGTAGATGTAAATGTATTTAAGTCATAAGTAGTTGCGTTCAAGTAGGTGATGGTGCTGCTGTGTTTCCTGTTAACTGACATTGAGGGAAATTCCTTGGCTTACACAGAAACTTCACAGTCAGGAAGTTGCATCGTAGACGAGGCGTGGGCGTGCATGTGCCTACATTGTGTTTCATGGTTGACTTCCAGATCATAACGTGCACATTCGAAGCATTGTTCTGTGAAATCCCATTGCGACAGTCTCGCCATGACGTATCGTTGATTCACATCAGCTGACAAACAAAAAGCCTGTTGGTGACTCTCCACCTTGTGTGCGGTCGTAGCGTGATCATGGTGCTGACTGGCAAGCGTTCCGAAAAAGGTCCCGCCCGCTGGAAGAGGAGAGTCAAGTCTGAGTACATGAGGCTGCGTCAGCTCAAGCGTTTCAGGCGGGCAGACGAGGTCAAGGTCTGTGCGCCTCGTCGTCCGCTCCTCAAACCGAAGCGTGTTGTCCATTCATCCCCATTTATGTCCACCGATTTTTCTCCTCTGATCTTTTCAGAGCATGTTCAACAACAACCGCCAGAAGATCCTGGAACGCACCGACATCTTGAATCAGGAGTGGAAAACACGGCGCATCCAGCCCGTCCACATCATGACGTCTGTCGGCTCGCTCAGGGGCACGCGAGAGGTCAGCGGCTCGCCAAAGATCCAATTCCCGGATAAAAACAAACAAAAAAAACGTTTCACATTTTCCATTCCTTTCTTCAATAACAGCGCATTATTTCAAACTGGCAGTGCAGAAAATTTGCAAACAAATGGTTCTGATCCACTCACTGGTTTGGTCCATAAACATCCGTCGGGAAAGAGGCAAACATGTTGTTCATGGCTTGCCAAACAGTGAAAGGCCGAAATTGCAAATATTTGCACAGTTCCAAGTGCTACCAGGTCTATAAATGAAATACTCAGTCATCAAAATAATTGTTGATTTGTTTGATAATCGGTAGTTGTCAATCTATCAATCGTCTGACCTCTAATTTGGAGACACTAAGTGGATCACTTCTGGCTGGCAGAATGTGATCCACTACTGCTGGCCTAATATGAACCTGTGACACATATGATCGGGTTGCCATTGACGTGTGAGTGATTCTTGTCCTCAAGTTGCGCTTTCTCTTTGCTCGTGTGCAGTGCACAGTGGACAGCGGCTTTTCCGAGTTCCCCCGCCAGGTCATCCCCTTGAAGACCCTCAACGCTGTGGCCTCCATCCCCGTCATGTACTCGTGGTCGCCGCTGCAGCAGAACTTCATGGTCAGTGAAGCCCCTTGTTGAACCCGCATACAGCCCTCCCAAAAAATTTTGGGATATTGATCGGGATGGACAAAATGAAGCCTCCTGAACCACTGGGGTATTGCTTCTGCTCAAGGTTCATTACCTAATGCTTCATTCACGAGTTTGTGGTTACAAACGGTAGGCAGCGAATGAGGCTCAAGCAGAGTGCGACGTGGATTGAGGCCGAGTTTACAAGTGCTTGCTCTTCCAACGCGTGTGAATGAAAGTGTCCGTCGCGTGTCAGGTGGAAGATGAGACGGTCCTCTATAACATTCCCTACATGGGAGACGAGATCCTTGACCAGGATGGCACGTTCATTGAGGAACTCATCAAGAACTACGACGGAAAAGTTCATGGAGACAGAGGTAGGGATGCCGGCGGGGTCTGCGTGTCACGTCGCGTTGCGCTCACCCCTTCCTGCTGGAAGTGGAAGTGTTGATCCGAGTTTGTGGGTCTTGCAGAGTGCGGCTTCATCAACGACGAGATCTTCGTGGAGTTGGTCAGCTCGCTGGCACAGTACAGCGACAACGAGGAAGACGAGGAGGAAGAGCACGACTTCAAGGTGGAGAAGATGGACGCCGTGTGCGACGGGCGGGAGCAGCCGGAGGACGCGGCGTACGTCAACGAAGGTGAGTCATGCGCTTGCGCGGACGGATAGCTCGCTTTTCATGTCCCCCATGGATGTTTTCTGCATACAGTGCTACCTTGATTTAGGAATGCCCCATTTGAGTTTTGCCCTGCCAATCGTGTCTGAAAGGGGTCGAGGTTGATGAGCTTCAAAATTAAACCTGAATGTTTCTGACCAAAAGTCTTGGTGTGTTGAAATGTATGCTCGTGTGCAGTGCACAGTGGACAGCGGCTTTTCCGAGTTCCCCCGCCAGGTCATCCCCTTGAAGACCCTCAACGCTGTGGCCTCCATCCCCGTCATGTACTCGTGGTCGCCGCTGCAGCAGAACTTCATGGTCAGTGAAGCCCCTTGTTGAACCCGCATGCAGCCCTCCCAAAAAATTTTGGGATATTGATCGGGATGGACAAAATGAAGCCTCCTGAACCACTGGGGTATTGCTTCTGCTCAAGGTTCATTACCTAATGCTTCATTCACGAGTTTGTGGTTACAAACGGTAGGCAGCGAATGAGGCTCAAGCAGAGTGCGACGTGGATTGAGGCCGAGTTTACAAGTGCTTGCTCTTCCAACGCGTGTGAATGAAAGTGTCCGTCGCGTGTCAGGTGGAAGATGAGACGGTCCTCTATAACATTCCCTACATGGGAGACGAGATCCTTGACCAGGATGGCACGTTCATTGAGGAACTCATCAAGAACTACGACGGAAAAGTTCATGGAGACAGAGGTAGGGATGCCGGCGGGGTCTGCGTGTCACGTCGCGTTGCGCTCACCCCTTCCTGCTGGAAGTGGAAGTGTTGATCCGAGTTTGTGGGTCTTGCAGAGTGCGGCTTCATCAACGACGAGATCTTCGTGGAGTTGGTCAGCTCGCTGGCACAGTACAGCGACAACGAGGAAGACGAGGAGGAAGAGCACGACTTCAAGGTGGAGAAGATGGACGCCGTGTGCGACGGGCGGGAGCAGCCGGAGGACGCGGCGTACGTCAACGAAGGTGAGTCATGCGCTTGCGCGGACGGATAGCTCGCTTTTCATGTCCCCCATGGATGTTTTCTGCATACAGTGCTACCTTGATTTAGGAATGCCCCATTTGAGTTTTGCCCTGCCAATCGTGTCTGAAAGGGGTCGAGGTTGATGAGCTTCAAAATTAAACCTGAATGTTTCTGACCAAAAGTCTTGGTGTGTTGAAATGTAACGACTCTCGAGCTGATAAAAAAAAAAAAAAAAAAAAAAAAAAAAAAAAAAGGAAGGGCCAAAACATGGATTTGCGAGGTTAGTGCTAAGTCAAGGTAGCGCTGTAGCCAAATGGACTAAACTGCGGATGTGGTCCAGGCCGAGCCAGCGACGACTGCAGCAAGAAGTTTCCGTCGGACAAGATCTTTGAAGCCATCTCGGCCATGTTCCCTGACAAAGGTTCCACCGAAGAGCTGAAAGAGAAGTATGAACGCAGGCAACTGGCATATAAGTGTAACGAGCAAGTCAAAGCACGCAGCAATGAGAGCCATCAGGAAGGCATTTGCAAAGCCATACTGACACCTAGTGGTCTTTTATTGCTACTGCTGGAAGCAAAATATCAAGTCCAAATTCATGAATGAAACGTCTTTGTGTAAATGTATGACTTCACTCTCATTTCCATTTTGATTATGCAGTTATCAAGGGAAAAAATGCAACTTTATTCCGCTCAGGGTGGCACTTTTTAGCGAGAAGCAAAACTTAAATCTAGAGATGATACGAAAGGATCCTCACAATACGATATTTCTCACGGTATTGTGGGGAAGGTGGCAAAATTAAAAAAAAAGACACGTGTGGGTGTGCGTTTGTGTGCCAGGTACAAGGAGTTAACCCAGCAGCAGCTTCCTGGTGCGTTGCCCCCCGAATGCACGCCCAACATCGATGGTCCCAACGCTCGCTCGGTGCAGCGCGAGCAGAGCCTGCACTCGTTCCACACGCTCTTCTGCAGGCGCTGTTTCAAATACGATTGCTTCCTCCACCGTGAGTTTCTTCTGCCGCCTTCTGCTCCTTTGTCTCTTAGACGACTCAAGTCAAGTGCAGATAGCTGAAAAAAAAATTGTGCAGCGATCAAGTGCGTCATTGGCTGCCGTTTTTACGCTTTGTCCTCCTCCAGCGTTCCACGCCACGCCCAACACGTACAAACGCAAGAACCTGGAGAACCTGGAGGACAGCAAGCCCTGCGGCGTGGACTGTTACATGTACCTGCTGCAGGTGAGGACGACGACTTTGTCGCTCGGGACCATGAATTAATTTGATTGGTCGGCTGCTTTTGGTGATACGGACCAGCCGATCCATGCGCTAATTTGGTGGAAGTTTACGTGAATTCATGCCCAGTGAAAAGTAATCTCATTTGCATATTTTAACAAATTAAAAGAGTTTGCATATTAGAATTTTGTTGGTGGGCAGGGTTATTATAAGGCCACATGGCCCAGCGCTTCACTCAAGCAGACTGTGTTTTAGGACGCTGTGGTAAGCGAGTGCGCTGGAGGTGTGGGCGCAGCGGAGCGTGCCAAGACGCCCTCCAAGCGCACGACGGGGCGTCGCCGCGGACGTCTGCCCAACAGCCGACCCGGAACGCCCACCGCCGTCTCCTCGGAGACCAAAGACACGGACAGTGAACGTGAGGGCAGCAAAGATGACGACAGAGATAACGACGATGACAAGAAGGACGACAACAGCGGAAGCAGCTCAGGTCACATTGCCCGACATTCACGTTGCGTTTTTATTGATATTGCATTATCCATTATGTGGTCGAATTATTACGTGAATGTGGTTTATGTTAGAATGACCGCGGCAGACTACTTTACATTAGGACGGAACTAGCACAACCACGGTGGTAAAAAGGGGCAAGTCGATGGCGGCTGCTTGAGTGACAGCCTGGTTTGTGCGCCGCAGAGGGCAACTCCCGCTGTCAGACCCCCGTCAAACTCAAAATGAAGCTTCCGGCCGAGGCGCTGGAGTGGAGCGGCGCAGACGCGTCTCTCTTCCGTGTTCTCATCGGGACGTACTACGACAACTACTGCGCCATTGCCAGACTCATCGGAACCAAGACATGCCGGCAGGTGAGCGCCGACTGACTCCGCTGGAAAGATCTTTGGACGTCGATTCCAGCACACGTGTTGACGTTTGTCAGGTGTACGAGTTCCGGGTGAAAGAGTCGAGCATCATTTCGCGCGCTCCTGCCGAAGACGAGGACACGCCCCCCAGGAAGAAGAAGAGGAAACACCGACTTTGGGCCACGCACTGCAGGAAGATCCAGCTCAAGAAAGGTCAGGGTTCAATCCACGCGGCCAAATCGCGGCTCACGAGATGGGTGACGAGCTCTCCGTGTGGCCCCGCCCCCCTGCAGATGGTTCCTCCAATCATGTGTACAACTACCAGCCGTGCGACCACCCCAGACAGCCCTGCGACTCGTCTTGCCCGTGCGTCACCGCCCAGAACTTCTGCGAGAAATTCTGCCAGTGCAGCTCGGAGTGTAAGAACAACAAAGTCACAAGTCCGTCCCGCGTCACGTAATCGTCACCGCAACACGTGACCAGGACTGTTACGTGACCATCAACGAATGGCACGATCGTGGCACATGACAGCGTGACGCCAATGCTTTGCATGACCGCGAGGGCGTTCCGGATGCATTTGCAGGCCAGAACCGATTCCCGGGCTGCCGCTGCAAAGCTCAGTGTAACACCAAGCAGTGTCCATGCTACCTGGCCGTCAGAGAGTGCGACCCCGACCTTTGCCTCACCTGCGGCGCCGCCGACCACTGGGACAGCAAGAACGTCTCCTGCAAGAACTGCTCCATACAGAGGGGCGCCAAGAAGGTGAGCCGCACCTCCCTAACGTCCCGAGGCGGACACCAGATAGTCGGTCGGCCATTTTGTTGTGTTGTGACCTCTCATTCCACATTTCCCAACTAGCACCTCCTGCTGGCGCCCTCCGACGTGGCGGGTTGGGGCATCTTCATCAAAGAGCCGGTCCAGAAGAACGAGTTCATCTCGGAATACTGTGGCGAGGTAGGAACACCCCTCTGAGCGCTCGAGTGCAAATGCTAACGTGCTTGGACGTGCTTTTCAGATCATCTCCCAAGATGAAGCGGACCGCCGGGGCAAAGTGTACGACAAATACATGTGCAGCTTCCTCTTCAACCTCAACAACGGTAACAGAGTCACGTGACGCACACAAATAACGTCTCAGCTAACTCGCCTTTTGTTGCTGACACCAGTATGTGCTTTTTGTTTGTGATGCCCATCAGACTTTGTCGTCGATGCCACCCGCAAAGGCAACAAGATCCGATTCGCCAACCACTCCGTCAACCCAAACTGCTACGCCAAAGGTCAGAACGCGCGCCCACTCAGTCGGGTGTCGAAGCTATATTTCGATCCGTTGAAGCTGAAGCAGCCCCAGAAGTGTACTAGTGCGAACTAGTAGCCTTGTTTGCTTCTGTTCAATCACTAAACCGCAACTGTGGGTTGTAAAGGGCAATCGTGATGAACATAAGTCGAGCGGAAGAAGGTTGACTCATTGGCTGACCGGCCCGCGTGTTTTCCTCAGTGATGATGGTGAACGGCGACCACAGGATCGGCATTTTCGCCAAGCGCGCCATTCAGACGGGCGAGGAGCTCTTCTTCGACTACAGGTATGCCAGAGCAAACACTTGACCTTACAGGGCGGGCGAACTCGAGCCGTTGCTTGCTTGGTGTTCTTATTGTTGTATATCAAACGTCACGTTGAAGATGTGAACAGGATAGTACAAATTGAACTTTTAAGTCAAGGTCATAAAAAGTTGTTTGCTCTTTCAGGTACAGTCAAGCGGACGCTCTCAAGTATGTCGGCATCGAGCGCGAAATGGAGATTGCCTGACCACGTTCACGGTGAGCCTGACATGCACACGGATGCGACACCATCTACTACCTTCTTCAGCACAACCGTCGGCTTGCAAAACAACAAAACAAAAACAAAAAAACAGTTCCGGAGGATTTGAAGCATCTTTTTGTTCTGTTGAAGATGAAAATCGGACATGTTGATTGTGTTTTTGCAATTTTCAAGTTCTATGGCACCAGGAGAAAGAAACAGTGTGTTGTCACTCGAACCTTCAGGGACCCAAGTTGGCAGCGGCAGGCTTGTGTCTGTGCGCAAGTCACTTGAAGCGCATCATGATGTCGCCAACACCTCAGCAACCTTTTGCCTTTTGGACATTGTTGCCTCTTTGGCTACAAAGCAATTTCTTGACGGTGACATCGACCGGTCCCATTTCTTGTCGCACACGCCGAACGAGCGACAAGAAACTTGCAAACTTTTTTGGAGGAGTTTCACCCAGCCACCCCCTGATAAAACCAAATGACATGAAAAGGTTTCAGCATTTAGTCCATATCCTTGATCAGAAGGCAACTACCTTGTTCCATATGCCTACTAGTATTACAGTGCAGAAGTTTATCAATAAGGGCTACCAGTAGTTCCGAAGTGGGGGTATTAACACACCGTGGTTTTACTTGTCTTAATTGTAAGGACAAAGCACACGGGCAGGAACGAGTAGCTGCATGCACAATCGAGCACACAAATAGAAAATGGAATAAATGCTGTGTTAGGCAAGTCAGAAGATTTGTTGTTTTGTACCAGAGTGCTCCAAATAAGTCACTGCCACAGAATCCAAACTTAATTTGATGCGATTTGTTTTTTTTGGTGGCAGCGGAAGGGGTGGGGGGATGATTGTACGTGAATGTTGGCGCTAGTGCCACATCACTCTGGCCTGCTGCCTGATCCATTTCCTGCTGTAATAACAAAACTAAACAAAGTCCATCTTCAGCTGTGGATGTGAGCACAGCTCCACTTGCAGCTTTTTCTTGTGTCGTTTTGTTTTTTGGGGGGACAAACAAATGTATGTGTGTGACATCAGAGTCCGCTGGTCCTGTTTACAAATAAAAGGTGCTGCTCGTTGGTGTTTGCGGTCAACTGGGAGAGACAATCAGCAGGAAGCACTCAAGCTTCATTTTCGGATTTTTTTTTCTTCTCATTGTCATTTTCTCACACAATGTGGGAGAAAAAAAATGGTGCTGACTGTTTACATGGATTTTGTTTTTCGATCTGCACAATAAACTCTCAAAATGATTCTTTGCTTTCTTTTTTTTCTTTTTCTTTTTAAATTTTTTTCTTATGTATATGTAAAGTAAGGCGTTTTTTGGCCCCCAAAAAACGACCATGTATAGTAAAGCATTTTTAGCCCAAAAAAAACCCGACCATGTATAGTGAGGCGTTTTTAGCCACAAAAAAAAAAACGACCATGTATAGAACGGCGTTTTTGGCCCCCAAAAAATGACCATGTATAGGAAGGCGTTTTTGGCCGAAAAAAACGACCATGTATAGAACGGCGTTTTTGGCCCCCAAAAAACGACCATGTATAGAACGGCGTTTTTGGCCCCCAAAAAACGACCATGTATAGAACGGCGTTTTTGGCCCCCAAAAAACGACCATGTATAGAACGGCGTTTTTGGCCCCCAAAAAACGACCATGTATAGAACGGCGTTTTTGGCCCCCAAAAAACGACCATGTATAGAACGGCGTTTTTGGCCCCCAAAAAACGACCATGTATAGAACGGCGTTTTTGGCCCCCAAAAAACGACCATGTATAGAACGGCGTTTTTGGCCCCCAAAAAACGACCATGTATAGAACGGCGTTTTTGGCCCCCAAAAAACGACCATGTATAGAACGGCGTTTTTGGCCCCCAAAAAACGACCATGTATAGAACGGCGTTTTTGGCCCCCAAAAAACGACCATGTATAGAACGGCGTTTTTGGCCCCCAAAAAACGACCATGTATAGAACGGCGTTTTTGGCCCCCAAAAAACGACCATGTATAGAACGGCGTTTTTGGCCCCCAAAAAACGACCATGTATAGTTAGGCGTTTTTAGCCCGAAACAAACGACCATGTATAGCAAGGCTTTTTTAGCCCGAAAAAAACGACATTGTATTAAGGCGTTTTTAGCCGAAAAAAACGACCATGTATAGTTAGGCGTTTTTAGCCCGAAAAAAACGACATAGTATAGTAAGGCGTTTTTGGCCCGAAAAAACGACATAGTATAGTAAGGCGTTTCTACCTGAAAAAAACGACCATGTATAGTAAGGCGTTTTGAGCCGAAAAAAAGCGACCATGTATAGTCAGGAATTTTTAGCCTGAAAAAAACGACATGGTAAAGTCAGGCGTTTTTCGCCCGAAAAAAAACGACCATGTATCGTAAGGCGTATTTAGCCCGAAAAAAAAAACAACATAGTATAGTAAGGCGTTTTTCGCCCAAAAAAAAACCGACCATGTACAGTAAGGCCTTTTTAGCCCGAAACAAACGACATAGTATAGTAAGGCGTTTTTAACCAGAAAAAAAATGACCATGTATAGTAAGGTGTTTGAAGCCCCAAAAAAACGACATGGTATATATAGGAAGGCGTTTTTTGCCCGAAAAAAACGACATGGTATAGTCAGGCGTTTTTAACCCGAAAAAAATGACCATGTAGTAAGGCGCTTTTAGCCCCAAAAAAACGACATAGTATAGTAAGGCGTTTTTAGCCCGAAAAAACGACATAGTATAGGAAGGCGTTTTTCGCCCCCAAAAAACGACCATGTATAGTAAGTTTTTAGCTGAAAAAAACGACCATGTTTCGTAAAAAACACAACTCAACTGATCTGTGTGTTTCTTTGGCTCAGGGGTAGAGTGATGGATTCCCAGTCACGAGGTTGGGTGTTCGATCCCCGGTGGGTGCACCAATGTCAAGTCTTTCATTATTAAACACCATGTACAGCTGATTTGAGGATAAATGCAAAACCAATCTACACTTATCGTGGTGGCATAGCTCAGCTGGAGAGTGGTCATGTCCCCGTCCCGGGGTTGTGGGTTCGAGTCCTGGTGGTTGCAATGTTGCTTCTTTTCAAACCAACAAACTAGTACGGCTTATTCGAGAAAAGACACAAAACAAACCAATGTTTCTGTGTGGTGGCGTGGCATAGGGGTAAAGTGGTCGTGTCCAAGCCCGGAGGTTTGGTGTTCGTTCCCTGGTGATTGTACGATGTTTTTTTCGTGCCAAGAACGCCTTACTATATTTTGTCTTTTTTTT